AAGTTCCAAATTAATACCCGAAACAAGACAGGACAACTATCTGTGGATGACCGACTGTAGATTAATACCTGAAACTAGACAGGAAAACTATCTATACGAGCAGATTGAAGATTAATACCAAAACCAGATGGGAAAACTATCTTTCTTTCTCTAAGGTCAGAGATTAATACTTGAAACCAGACAGGACAACTATCTCAACGACCGACAATTTTCAAGTTTCAAATTAACACCTGTATCAAGCAAGGAGAACTATTTGTAGACGATTGACTGTAGATTAATACCTGTAACAAGCCAGGAGAACTATCTACGTAAGGAGGTTGAGTATTAACACCCGAAACCAGACGGGAAAACCATCTTTATTTCTTGGGTCAAAGATTAATACCTGAAACCAGCCAGGACAACTATCTTAACGGCCGATAGTTCCAGATTAATACCTAAAACAAGCCAGGAGAACTATCTGTGAACAATTGATTTATAGGTTAACACCTGAAACCAGATAGGAAAACTATCTACATTCAGACATGAAAACTATCTTCGGATAACGGTTATTCCATTAGCCTCAGCAAGTTACTGTGAAGCCTGGATTTCAACCAGAAAGTATCAACCTTTCATCTTCGGTCAAGAGATAACTTCCCCAGTAGAGTAATGGACAATTGAAGTTCCTAGACTCTATATCCCCACAAAGTTTCCTTAAGCAGGAGAACTCCAGAAACCCATATTCCTCAAAGAACTCCTCCTCAGACAGCAGGAACAGGAACCCCTAAAGGGACCATGTGTGAAATCAACATCTATTTTGGATGACATCTTTAAGCCCATCTCTGACGACTCTCTGTCATCTCCTTCAAATGGAATTTGTAAGCCCATTCTCTACATCATCAACCATCAGTATTATTTCATGCGAGTGCAAATTTTTGGGCACTCTAGTGTTCAATCATCTTCCACCTTAAGATCACGAAAGGCAGACAAGTCAATCTAAATTCTCAAGTTTAAGAAGATTGAACAGGGACAGCTGTTGTACCCTAAAATTTTTCCTCTCATTTTTTCCCAAGATTTTTCCCTTACATAGGTGTTTACAAATAGTTGATTAAAGAAAAATAAATTTTTTGAAGATAAACAAGGTCTTTCAATTGGCATGAACAAGGTGTCTTTCGATTGATATTTTGACATACTTCGATTGAACACCTAACCTCCTCCAAGCTTGCTTCAAAATTCCAAACTTCGATTGAAGCCTTGGCATGTTGCTTGCTTGCTGCATACAAGCTTCGTCTGGGCATGTATTTCCTTGGAAACAACTTCCTTCGATTCAGAAAGGAAGGACTTCATGTTGGTGCTCCTTCAATTGAACCTTTTTTGCTTTACATGCTGGCTTGATTTATAATGCAATGGCTACCTACATGCAAGTTTAATTCATGTTTCGTTTGAGCATTTTTTTCTCTTTGGAGTAGGCTTGATTCCTGCTTCGACAAGGCAAATACTCCCTCTGTGCGTGCCTTCAGCGCACAAAGCAAGAAACCCCTACAAGTTTGTTTTGATTCACTAGCAAATGAATTCCTGCATGCCAACTTAGTTCAAGGAAAAGGCCACTTTCGACTTGCCTTCAATTCACAAGGAAAAGGGCTTCCCCAGACTTGCCTTCAATTCATAAGCCAAAAGGTTCCCTCTTCATGCCTGCTTTTGTTTCACAAGCACAAGTTTGACACGCTAATGGTGCCTTCGAAGGACATGTCATTGGTCCATTTGAAGTACATATTTGTTGGAAACAAACCTTTTTGTCTTTTGAGGAAGCTTGGTTCAAGCTGTTTGCTGGGCAAGAGATTATATGCTGCCCAGCCCAAGCCTCATGACAAAGGAGGCTTCGATGGGCCAGAATGAAGTCTTCGTGTTGGGTTATTCGAATCAAGCAGCTAAGGTAAATAGAGGGGCTCAATCGAAGAAACCCCAAGGGTGAGATTTAAGCCATTCGAAGGACACACCTTGGTGGCTCATTCGAAGAGTACACAGAAGGTCCATTCAAAAGACCCAGTCGAAGGAGGAAACCAAAGGCTCATTCGAAGGGTACACAAAAGGGTCCATTCGAAGAAACATTCAAAAGGCCCATTCGAAGGGTGCATGAGAGATCCAATCGAAGGATAGAGACTGAAGGTATTCGAAAGCAAAAATTATCGACATTCATTCAAATTTAAAAAGAGGACAAGATCCCATGTTTTTGGCCATAATTACAAAACATCATTCATGGCTTTGAAACAATTTGTTTATAGATGTTTAAACCTTTGTTCTCTTGTCCCCTCCATCCCCTCTATATAAAGAATCACATGCATACACAAAAAAAGGGTGCTGAACATGACCAGGGAGGGAGTCATACGAAATTGCAAACACATTCTTGGAGGTCTCCAAAAGTTGTTCCAATCATCACCAGCCCCTAAGCAAGCACACATTCAGAAGTGCCAAATCGAAGCAACCCCTAAACAAAGGTACCCACGTCCAGAAGCCAAATCGAAGCAATCCTCAAACAAGGGTATCCACACCCATCATCACAGATTCATCATCAACCATTGGTAAGAATTTGTAAAAAGATCAATCTCTACATTTGTATGACACATCAACATTTATAGTTTCACTCGATTTGCTATTCAAGACTAAAGACATGGGTTCGACCCCAGGTCTGCATTTGTTTTGCTTCTAACACTTGTTGCAGATCCAGCATAAACAAGGCCAGTGCGCACAAAATTGAAGGAACTGGGCTTGGCACCCAGGTCATGCCTTTCGTTTTTGCTAACATACCTTTGCAGATTCAGTGCCCTCACAATATCCACCCCTGGATCAAAAGACAATTATCTCTCCCTGGATCGAAGGACAAACATTCCTTCTTGGATCGAAGGCTACCCTTTTCCTCTGGATCGAAAGCCACTATCCTCTGGATCTAAAGCAACTTTCTTCCTCTGAATCGAAGCCATGATTCTCCCTGGATCGAAGGATCCCCTCACTCCTTCATATTTTATTTTTGTTCTTTCTTGTTATTTCTTTATTGATCATTTTTATTTAAATTAATCTTAAATCAAAATCACAAAAAATATTAGAATAGTTTTTATTATTCAAATTAATTTATAAATAAATAAATAAATTATTTTAATGTCTTTCTTGAAATTAAAACTAAATAGACTTAGGTTATATTTTCTTAAAATAAAAACAAAACAAAACGATTTTTCACCTTAGGATTTTTCAGACATCTTTTCTACTTCACACGCATTTATTTATTTTCATATTTTTCCATATTATTGTATCTGCCTACTGGATGTAATAGATTAAAACTATGACGTTTACTGCTTTATCCCCCTCATTCTTGTACAGTGTAAATCCCCTCCCCAAAGCATTGTAATAACGTAGATTTAAATGTCTGCACTTTAATATTTTGCAATATATATTAACTGCTAGTAACTAGGCGTGTATGAAAAGACTGAAATCAAACGTTAGCAAACTTAACAAAAAGACAAAAATAATTAAACATAACACACTTGCACATATACACCTCTAGGGTATCCCACTTTGGTTGCTTTAAAAAATAAAACAGTCATGAGGCAGAAACGTTTTAGCAAAGACCCATAAATCAAAAGATCATAGTCCCTCGATGATCCTACATTTCCTTCGATAAATGATCTAGTCCCTAAACAAAATTGCTAAAGCGTCTCCATAAGTTGCCTTCGTGACTGTAACGTCCCTTTCAAATGTCCCTAATACATCCAACGATAGGGCTACCAACTCACTAATAGTAGGATAGCACTGTCTAAAGGATAAGAGGAAGAGAACGATCCTTTTCGAGTATAAACGTAGATAGCTGTTAGAAGTTTGCTCAAAAACATTTTGCACTTACACAAATACTACTTTTCAAAAATAAATTTTTTTTTCAAAATATTTGTTTTGTTAACACTCTTGAGGACTGATACAAGAGTTAAACACAAAGCAAATCACTGCACTAAGGCATTTTTCAAACATTTTTAAACCATTTGATTTATTAACACTTTTGAGGACTGATACAAGAGTTAAACACAAAGCAAATCACCGCACTAAGACATTTTCCAAACATTTTCAAAACATACAAAACACAAAGTCATTTCAAAATGAGCAAACCTCTAAGAGCACGTAGATAACTACGGATGGAAATGATGCTAACACCTTCCCTTCTATAATCAATCCCCTTACTCAGAAAATCTCGAAAATGTCTTTTTCTGTTCTTTTCACCCTTTCCTTAATTTTGATAAAAGAAAAGTCGATGACGACTCTTACTTACTGCAATATTTACGAACACAAACTCAAAATCAATAATATTAAACAGTCGATTATGCCACCGTATCACATCTGTCATTCTGTTTATGTGTTATTTCTCTCTACTAAAATTAAGTAATTCTATGTTATAATGAAACAATTTCTATCAAAATCATGTTGAAATACTCATATATCATTTATGTCACATTATAAAATAAATGACAATAGACCAAAACAGTTCTAAAAATTAAGAATAAATAGGGAATAAAAGCAAATTTTGATGTAACATCAAAACTCCAAAATTGCTATAATAAAGCATAGAGATTAAAAAAAATTGTAACAAGAGAGTGGATCCTTTAAAAATATCTTACCCTTCTAAAGTTTGACATACATCTCATCCCACCAAATAGAAACAATTATTTAGCTGTAGCGGGCGGCACCTTGTGTTTTGGGAGTCAGAATCCATTCACCACCACCAAATAACATTTTTAAATCCTCTAAATGCATGCACAACTCCACAGTGCTCCAAAAGTTGTACAAGTAATTCATAGTGCTTATCTTCAAAATCAGTTGTTTTCACTCACAAACTCAAATAGAATATTTACATTTTTCGAAATTTCATTAGTAGGATGACACCAATACTGTAAAATGAAAAGTGTGACACTACAAAAATATACCTTTGTTGCCTATAAATACAACCATTGTTTGGTGTGTTTGTCAATAACAGCAACAAAGTGAAAATGAATAAGTCATCTAGAGCTATTACAAGTTTTTGGCTTATGATGAGTTTCTTCATTTTGAGCGAGGCTGAACCTATGAAAACCCAACTTAGTCCAGATTTTTACAGGACAACATGCCCCGATCTTTGGACAATAGTTAGGCGAGAGGTTTTGAACGCGATGGAAGATGAGATTCGAATGGCTGCTTCGTTGCTTCGCCTTCATTTTCATGATTGCTTTGTAAATGTAAGTTAGAGACACTAGCACTTCATTTTTACTATAGACAAATTTGTCCCAATTAAACTGTGATTAAATAAAATTTCATAAAATATTTGTCACAATTAAACTTTTAAATAAAGTTTACATTTGTTTTGTCATGATTAAATTGTGACTAATCTATAGAGCCTCCAAATTTTTTTTATGACTTACAGGGTTGTGATGGTTCAATTCTACTAGATGGAGACGAAGAAAGTGAGAAATTTGCTACTCCTAACAAGAATTCTGCTAGAGGATTTGAAGTCATAGATAGAATCAAAAGCTCACTAGAGAGTTCATGTAGTGGTGTTGTGTCTTGTGCTGATATATTAGCCATAGTTGCAAGAGATTCTGTTTTCCTAGTATGTTCAATTCAAATTTCAATCATTAAATTTTCATAACTCAATGCAAAAATTAAAACTATTATCTTTGTGTTAACCTTAATTTAACTGTCACATTTTGCAGAGTGGTGGTCCTTTTTGGTACGTTCAACTAGGACGTAGAGATGGATTGGTCTCGAACAAGACTCTAGCCAATCTCGCAATTCCTTCTCCATTTGATACACTAGATAATATTACTTCCAAGTTTGATAACGTCGGTCTCAATCTCAAAGACGTTGTTACTTTATCAGGTATAATTTTGCATGAAATAGTTTATTTTAGACGGTGACATAAAACGCCTTAAAGAGAGCGATTTATAATTTTTTTTAGGGGCTCACACTATCGGACGAGCAAGGTGCACATTTTTCAGCAACAGATTATTCAATTTCTCGGGGACAGAAGAACCAGACAATACATTAGAATCTGAAATGCTTTTTGACTTGCAAAATTTGTGTCTGCAAGATGAAGACGGGAACGCGACTACGGTTCTAGATTCGAACTCATTTGATCAATTTGATAGCAATTATTTCAAGAATTTACTAAATGGAAAGGGTCTCCTAAGCTCTGATCAGATTCTGTTTTCAAGTGATGAAGAGGTTACTTCAACCACAAAACAATTGGTCCAATTTTATAGTGAGAATGAAAGAGAGTTTTTTATGGAATTTGCTTATGCTATGATTAAGATGGGGAATATTAGTCCACTTATTGGTTCTGAGGGAGAGATTAGGAATGATTGCAGAGTGATTAATTCTTGATGATGTGAATGTCATAGTAATGGTAACAAAACTTTATATTGGTGTTTGCTACTCTTTGTCTTGTTGTATTTTACAAGAATAAAATTTGAATAAAACTATTATCATGATGGGATACTCGACCATGCATATACATCATTTATCAATCATTTTTCTATAATTGCACAAGACAAGAGATAACATCATACATCAATTGAGTCATTAATATATACATTTCATATTAAAATTAAAATTCTAACGTAAAAATAGACATTATCAAAATAATACATTTATATGTCATATCAAAACAACAACAAAATAAGTAGTTATGGTTTTTATTATGTTTAAGAAATTTAACATCCAGATGGGGTCCCTGAATAGTAATTTCTGAAGAACATCGAACATATTATTCTATTTGGTGGAGCTTTTGCAGGAAACACCAATATGGATTCAACTGCTGAAGTAAATGTAAGTATTTCCATTTTATATTCAAACTCTTAATATAAACCCCATAAAAATATTGCACCTTTGACTACATGATCTATCTAAATATTCATTTTGACGTAATTCTAGATCTTTGCACCCCTAGATGCTGCTGATGTTGTATTCACAAGGAACATCATTATGAATTCTATAATTAACCATGGTCAGATTCATCTTGATGCTTTACCTATTCGCTTTACGTTGAGACACACTAGCATAATCATTTAATTGTTTGGTTATGACCCGAATGTTATTTATTTGTTTGTTGAAATCTTGCATGTATTGGCGTCTTATGAATCATATGAAATATATTTAATTTGTTTGTGTTGTTTTTGGTGATATTTTCAGGGCTGAAGATGTTGTCATTCGATACTTGAACCACAAAGCTGTTGGAAGAGATATTCTGGAAGGTAGCTAAAAGATGCTTGCTCTATGATAGTCTAATTGAATCATGTGATTTTCTTTACAAGTTTCTTTGTTGGTAGATCACACAAAGGTCTTTGTTTATATGACTTATAATTTATATGAACAATTGAACAATTTGACTTATAATTTATTTTGCAAAATTCAAGTGGATCAAAGAAGAAATGGTTTCGGAAGAAAAAATTACACACTTCATACTCATATCCAGAAACTGATCAACCACCTCATTTTCCTCCTAAACCTGAGGATATTATTTTAACTCATGATGAGAATGAAAACAATCATGGTCATGTTGAAGTTGTAAAAGATATGGATAATGATGTATTTGTTCGTGATGTTATTGTTAGAACAAGATTTGGTTCTGCAATATTATCTATGAGTTTTGATGATAACAAATGAGTATGTTTGTATGAATAATTTTGATACTCTAATGTTTGTTATTTTTTAGTATTAAACAAACAAGTCCTACTTCTGATGGATGGCGTGACCAAGATATTAGAAGATAATTAATTCTACTTCTGCACTACACAAGTTCTGATGAACAATAGCAAGACACTCCAGAAGACTCTGAAGTGTAGCATTTGATATGAAGCCTAAAGAAACCAGTCATAAGATCTGAAGACAGAAGTTTCTACTTAAGTCTAGATGCTAAAGACTCATGTTTTTGAAGACAACGTGTTATAAAGAAACAAGTCAGAAGATCTGAAGACAAAAGTTTCTACTTAAGTCCAAATGCTGAAGACTAATGTTTTTGAAGACAAAGGATTATCACGACCAAGTGCTGAAGATTCTGATAGACGAAGTTCTAAAGACTCTGAAGACTTGAAGTTCTAAAGACCCATGTGTTGTACCCCAAAATTTTCCCTCCCATTTTTTATTCAAGATATTCTCCTTGGGTTCTCAAATGCTCAAGGTGGCTCAAGAATTGACCAAACAAATTCTTCTCATAAGCAATGAGTCTACAACTAGGGTTTGGCATTTCTCAAGCAAGATTGGCTTTCCAAGGTCTCAAGTGGAATTCATGGTTCTTCATATTTACTCAAGAATGCTCATATCAAATTTCATGCCTTGCATCACAAATTCGCTCAGTCAATTGCTCGGATGACGGAAAATCAACTGTTTGACCAAAAAGTCAATATTCTCAAGATCAAGTTCAAATGATTGTAACTTCTTCATTATTTAATACTTTTGAGTGGTTCTTTTTACTTATGACTCTCCTTTACGTCATCTCCAACTTCTCTTTACAAATCAAGAGCTGATTATGTGCGAAAGATCATAAAAAATTCTAATACTTTAGAGGTCGCTTTATGGACTTTGACCTAATTTCAAGTTTTTTGTTTCCGGACTTCAAAGGATTGTAACTTCTACAATATTCAGAATTTTAGGATAATTCTTTTTGCATGTTGTCATGATTAATGTCATCTACAAGTTCTCTTCAAGGATTAAAGGAAAATTGTGCTTAGAAGACCTTGAAAGTTATCGAATCGTCATAGGTCATTTTCTTGATTTAGAATGTTCTTAACTTCTAATTTCAATTCATGCCATAATTGTTTTCTCAGGACTATGATTCTCACGTTGAAATTGTTCATGTTACAAGATTGTTGAATATTCTTAAAGCATATGTTTTGTTCATCAAGAGATTGAATTCAAGTTTGGCAATTGAACTCCATTTGAATTGAGCATGGCATACGAGTTTTATTTTGAGTACAATTTCTTATGGAATCAAGAGGATATACAATGTTCAAAACACATTCAAGAAAACTTCACTCAATTCTTATTCAAGACATGTTCGAGATCGCGTTGATTCACTTATGTTGTCAATCTCCTTCAAGCTTTTGTTCAAGTTCATCCAATAACCATTCATAATTTCTTACAAGGATATCCAAGTTCCTCATGTGACTAATTGTCAAGACTTTATCACTCATTCCACAAAAGCAAATTTCAAAGGTTCTCATCAATTTACAAAGCTAATTCAAAGTTCATGGTTTTTCATCTACCTTCAAGCACGTCAAGAATTCAAGTTCCATGAATTAATTCCATACTACATCATTATCTCATCAATATCATTACAAAGAAGAAAGGAGCTATTGGGAAAATTTGGTCTTGTACATTGAATTTAAGGATTCATTACAAGAAGATTACATGAGTTTTTACATGGCTAAATCCAACAATTCAAGAGAATCACATGAGAATGCCTAAATTCTAAAGTTGTGATCCTAAGCCCTAAATCCTAATATTCATTTTCAAGTTTCAAATCCTTTGCATTCTTCATGCTAATCCTAACTTTTAAGCTTCAAACTTCATCAATCTTCAAGCCAAAAGTTGTCCACATATTGTCATACTCCAAAATCATGCCTTGATGTCCAAAACCTTGCATAAAACCTGTTCCAAACAGAGGAAAATATGTTGTTGTCCTACTGCACAAAACATCCTTGCAAAGCACTGCAAACCTGCATAAAATAGGCCAAAAACCAGCCCAAGACATGCTGCTGCCCCTGCCCATAACCAGTCCAAAAACAGCTTGTCATACTACCCAAAATCGAAATATTGTCCCAAACAGCCTGCTTCAAAACCTACATAAACTAGTCCAAAAATTGCACAAATTCAGCAGAAACATAACCTGCATCCAAAAGCTACAAAACAGTCAACCAAAAATGTTCAAAACTCATTAAGTTTTCCCCCCAAAACTTCATCATTATTTGCTATAAAACAGGAAAACAACAAGAGTATAACACAATGGGAGAACTGACTTGGGTGTTTTGTGTTTGATCGCAATTGTTGCGGATAGCAAGAGTCGCCACCGACTTTTCTTTTATCCAATAAGGAAAGTGTGAAAAGAATAGGAAAGACCTTTAGAGATGTTTTCTTGAGTTCGGGGGGTAGTGTTGTACCCCAAAATTTGCCCTCCCATTTCTCATTGATTTCTCACCACAAAGCCCTTGAAGCTCAAGATCCGGCTATGGTTTCATCTGCTCAAGACCTCTCCTTGCACTGTGGACTCAAATTAGGGTTTGTGTTTGCACAAAGATATTTTGACCTAAAATGCCTAAGATGACTTTCATGCTTCATATTGGACTCCCAAGTTTACCCACATCAAGTTTCAAGTCTTGATTCCAAGTTTTGCCCAGTCAATTGGACAGTTGACCTAAAAATCATCTGTATTGGGGAAAAAGTCAACTGTGGCCAATTGACAGTCAAACCTCATGAAATTTGACCCACATCAACATTATGAACTCATATGAACCATTTGATCAAGTTTGGATCACAATTCCCCAAGAAATTTGATCAGATCACCAAAAGGGCAAAATGGTTATTTTTAGGGTTTTGACTGTACAAAGGCAATTTTTGACTGTTTGACCTAGCCAATGGCAAACCAAGCTCACACATGGACTCAAGGACCCCATGGAATTATCTTGACATGCTCAACAATTTCAAAAGATCCCAAGTACACAAGATTGACAGTTGAATTTCCCAGTCAATTGATCAATTTTGACTGTATACTGAAAAGTCAAACTTTGACTTTTTGGTCAAAATCAAGAGTCAAGATTCATTTTTCATCAAAACATGCCAAATCATGAAACTTGTTCACCAAGAAATCACAAAATGCAAATTAGGGTTAAAAATTAGAATTTTTCATAACTTAGAATTTTTCTAAGTTATGAAAAATCCTAATTTTTTCCCAACTTTGCCCCACTTTTTCACTAAGATCCATTTGGATTCAAACAAAAGTCCAAACATGAAAGTTGTATCTTGTTGCATAATCTACAACTTTGATTCACAAAGTTTTCTCATTTGAAGCTTGCATCTCAAGTTACAAATTTTTTAATAAGGGCACTAAACCATTCCTAACTTAGTGAATTTTTGACCTATTTTGACAAGGTTTTCTACCTAACTTCAAGGCCATTTTCCATACACTTCCACTTGGAATTTCAAATTGCATTTCAAAGATGGATTGTAGTACACATTCCAAGCTTTCCAAAATGTCCAAGAACTTCTCAAACAACCTCATGGTTATGGAGAATCGAATTTCACAATATAGCAAAAACTCACTTTTGAATTGGCCATTTTTCATGTTCATAAGTTATGCAAACTTCTCAAAACCAGCATGCCCTTGATTA